GGAGAAGACTCGAGAGTTCCTGGGCTGCAAGGAGATCCAACCAGTCCATCCTAAAGGAGATCAGTCCTGAATATTCCCTGGAAGGATTGATGCTGAAGCTGAAACTCCAATACTTTGGCCACCTGATGTGAAAAACTGACCCACTGGAAAAGACCCTGATGCTGGGAAAGACTGAAGGCGGGAGGAGAAGGGATGACAGAGGATGAGATGGTTGGATGGCATCACCAGCTTGATGGACATGAGTTTGAGCAAGCTCCGGGAGTTGGTGATGGACAGGGAGGCCTGGCGTGCTGCAGTCCATGGGGTCACAAAGAGTTGGACAGGACTGAGCGACTGAACTGACTGACTCTGCTGTACATAGGACCTTGTGGTTTATCTATCCTATATATACCAGTTTGCATCTGCTAACCCCAAACTCCCAATCCATCCTTCCTCCTTTCCCGTCCCTTTTGGCAACCACAAGCCTGTTCTCTAGGAGACTTTCTTCTTGATGCATCCATAGCGTCCAGTGACAGGACACAGGCGTGGGGACAGACGCCAGCCCCTCCGCCACCTGCGGGCCACCTCTGAGCCTGCCTTGCTGAGGGCTGGCTGCCCGCGGGGACCTTTTCCTCACTGGCCCCTCCCTGCCCTCCCCACTGTGCTAGACAGGGCCATCTTCGCAGAGCGTGGAGGCCCTGTCTTCGCCTGGCAGGAGCCTGTGGGGGCGGCCCCCACGCCGCTCAGGCAGGGGCCTGGCCCCGGAAGCCTGACGTCACCGTGACTCACAGGCTCGCTCTGGCGTGCTGGGGGTGGCCGTCACTTGTCACTCTCACCTTCATACCTGCCCTGGCCTAAGGGTTGCAGCCACACCACTCATTTCCTCCTCTCTCCCAGGGGCATCTACTGGGGGTGTGGGTTTGGAAGGAGAAGGAAAACACCACCACCACGAGACGCAGCAACACGATGCAATCGCAGGGCTCCGTGCGCCCCTGGAAGGGAAACCTGCATAGGAGGGGTGGGGGCGGCGGGAGCTAGGTCGACGTGCTGGCCTGGGCAGGGGAAGACGGGAACCCCAAAGGCAGGAGGCTAGTGACACATAAAGAGCCGGCAAAACAGATGGTTACAAACGAGACTGACACGGGATCATCACTTGTTCCAGTGGGGGATTTTAATCAAAGAAAAGCTGAGTCCCAAACCTCCTTGATAGTGTCTGCTCTGTAGCAGCCAGGCCAGGAAAACAAAACCCCCCAAAACCTCTGAGTATGGCACCCACCGTACCCCCATCCTGGCCCCTGCTGTCCCCTTACCACCAAGTGGAGAGGGCCGGGGCCTTCCCTCCAGGACCCGTAGTCTGCGGGGGGCCAGTGTGACCGAGACCCCCCTTCACACTGTCCTCCACCCACGCGTCCAGGGCCCCGCCTCCTCTCTGCCAGGCACGGTGGTCCTGGAGGGGGTGGCAGACGGGGGAGAGCTATCCCGGGGCCATGACTCACCCAGGGTGGGGGGATCTTTAGTCAGAGCAGAAGTGGGGGTGGGACGTGGGTTCCATCCTCTTCCCAATCTCTGCTCACCCTGAGCTCGGGCTGTCACCCCCTATGGGGGTGGGGGTTTCCCTAGTTTGGGAATAGAATAAAGGGGTCAAGGCGAGCCCTTCCTTCATGGCTAAGTCAGGCCTACTTGAATCTGTGTTCCAGAGCTGAAAAGGGGACGGCCCCAAAGACAGAGGCATGGAGGGGGGGGACATGCATGTAGTCACCTCAGGCAGAAGTCACTGGTTCTGACCAGAGGGCTGGGCAGGGCCCCGCAAAACGTCACCAACAGGCTCCCACTCCTGAGCCCGTGTGGGGCCTCCCGGCATGGCTCACTCCCTTCACCCCAGGAGGGGAGGATGCTCAGCCCGGCACAGGAGTCCCAGAGCCCCTATGTGGCTGGGCTGAATTTCACTTCTGAGCCAGAACCCCAGCTGGCCAGTCCTGTCTGCTTCTTCCCCTGGAGCTGGAAGTCTGTGGCTCCCAGCAGAGCAGGTGACGCCAGCCCACAGGTCAGCAAGATGGGACCTGACTATCCTATGTGCTCTGTAATTTGCCCCCGGAGTCAGCCATTAAGTCATTCACCAGGCTGATGCCAAGGATAAGCGCCCATATCAGCCGCTGGGATCTGTGGCCCAGACTCCTTGGCTCTGTTGTGGGTTTTGCCGCCTCAGCCTCCGGACTGGCCTGGGAGGGAGGGACGGAGCACTGAGCGTGTCCGGGCAGTGGCACAGCCTCGGAGCCTTCGGACCAGTGTGGGTGAGCAGTTGGTCTATTATAAGCTCCCATCTTACAGGTGGGAACACTGAGGCCTGAGAAGGTGACCTGCCCCAGGAATCTTTGGAGTCCTTGAGGCTCCTCTCCCCTGCATCCCCCTGCCTCGCAGCACACAAGCTACCAGTTCTGTCTCCAGCATCGCAGAACAGATGTGATGAACGCACAGACGCATCCACACATCACTGGGAAGAGTTCAGAGTTAACCAGCCAAGTGGAGGGCTTGGGGGGCCACAACGGGGCCTGGCGGTAGTCCTCCGAGACAGTTTAGACCTAGGGGTCTCCAGCAGAACTGGAAGGCTCTTACAAAGGGCATAGAGTGGTGACACAGTGGGGGGGGACATGCATGTAGTCACCTCAGGCAGAAGTCACTGGTTCTGACCAGAGGGCTGGGCAGGGCCCCGCAAAACGTCACCAACAGGCTCCCACTCCTGAGCCCGTGTGGGGCCTCCCGGCATGGCTCACTCCCTTCACCCCAGGAGGGGAGGATGCTCAGCCCGGCACAGGAGTCCCAGAGCCCCTATGTGGCTGGGCTGAATTTCACTTCTGAGCCAGAACCCCAGCTGGCCAGTCCTGTCTGCTTCTTCCCCTGGAGCTGGAAGTCTGTGGCTCCCAGCAGAGCAGGTGACGCCAGCCCACAGGTCAGCAAGATGGGACCTGACTATCCTATGTGCTCTGTAATTTGCCCCCGGAGTCAGCCATTAAGTCATTCACCAGGCTGATGCCAAGGATAAGCGCCCATATCAGCCGCTGGGATCTGTGGCCCAGACTCCTTGGCTCTGTTGTGGGTTTTGCCGCCTCAGCCTCCGGACTGGCCTGGGAGGGAGGGACGGAGCACTGAGCGTGTCCGGGCAGTGGCACAGCCTCGGAGCCTTCGGACCAGTGTGGGTGAGCAGTTGGTCTATTATAAGCTCCCATCTTACAGGTGGGAACACTGAGGCCTGAGAAGGTGACCTGCCCCAGGAATCTTTGGAGTCCTTGAGGCTCCTCTCCCCTGCATCCCCCTGCCTCGCAGCACACAAGCTACCAGTTCTGTCTCCAGCATCGCAGAACAGATGTGATGAACGCACAGACGCATCCACACATCACTGGGAAGAGTTCAGAGTTAACCAGCCAAGTGGAGGGCTTGGGGGGCCACAACGGGGCCTGGCGGTAGTCCTCCGAGACAGTTTAGACCTAGGGGTCTCCAGCAGAACTGGAAGGCTCTTACAAAGGGCATAGAGTGGTGACACAGGCCCTGAGTGGGAGCCTGGTGAGTGGGTTCTGAAATCCCATGCAGCTGGGGTAGGGGTGGGTGTGTGTCCCCACACACTTGGATGTCTCTGCTTCTGCAGAGTTCAGCTGCCAACACTGCTGGCCCTAGTCCAGGGGCCCAGACCCCCACGCACACCTGGGGCTCACCACATCCGCCCGAGGGCTGGCAGATGAGGTGGGGGTGGGCAGGATGTGGACTAAGGGCTCCCCAGTCTTACTGCTCCTGGCCCTGCTCAAGTCCAGTGCAGGGGCCCTGCTGCCCGCCTCTGGCGAGCTCTGAGGGGGCGCAATGGGGTGGGGGAGGCAGATTCAGGTAGCTCTTCTCCCTCTTCCCCTTGGAGAGGCTCCTGAAATTCCCACAAGGCCTAGGGACAGCCCAGCCGCGTCAGCTGAGTTCCCCTTCAGGGCCCGCCTGCGACTTGGGGAAGTGCTTCACCCTGGGCCCTGGGGTTCCCCTGAGTTCCATGGGAGAAGGCCTCACTCCACTAATAACGGGAAGGTCATCACAGGTCCCCTGCCCGCCCCACGCCACAGCCCAGGGGTCCTCCTCAGGCCAGTGCTCCGGTTCTTGGGCTCAGGGGACCATCTTCGGCCACGCTTGGCCTCTGAGCAGCAGCAGTGCTGGTCTCAGCCATGAAACGGGTGGTGTGGGGGTGGGGGTATAAAGCTCCTCCTGCCCAGGGTCTCTGTGCAGAAGAGAAAAGGTCCGACGAAGCATGGGTCCCCAACCTCCAATGTGGACATCATCCTCGGTAACAGTGTGCTTAATGGCTCAGCAGTGCCTCACTCTTGGTGACCCCATGGATTGTAGCCAGCTCCTCTGTCCATACCGTTTTCCAGGCAAGAATACTAGAGTGGGTTGCCATTTCCTTCTCCAGGGGATCTTCCCGACCCAGGGACTGAACCCGTGTCTCTTGTGTCTCCTGCATTGCACCTGGCTTCTGTACCCGCTGAGCCATCACAGAAGTCATTTTTGTAGTAACAGATTCCTAGGAGTGGGGAGACTCTGAGAAGGAAAGGGAACAGGGAAATGGGAGACGAAGCCAGTCAAGGGGCATCAAGGCCCCGAGGTCCAGGGTGGGAGCGCTCAGAAAAAGCCCTGGGGCGGCAAGGTGGGAGGCGGGTATTTGGGCAAACACCTTCCCTGCAGAGCCGTCCCCGGCTTCCTCTACCAGCGCATCCCTCCCCCGAGCCAGTCCCAGTCCCGGGCCCGCCCCGCCTGCGCACCGCGTGAGACCGCGGGGGCGGCACCGGCGCCTTCCTGCTTTGCCCTTGTTTGGCGACCCGGGAGGCCGGCCCACGGCTACTTAAACCTGGGCGCTGGAGAGGGTGCCAGAAACAGACGGCTGGGGCAGTGCGGCCGCCGCGAGAGCCCGGCGAGCGCGCAGGGAGAGGGGAAGGAGAGGAAGAGGAGCAGGAAGAGGGGGAAGGAGGCTTCCAGGGGCCAACATGGGGCTGGAGGCGGCGCGAGAGCTGNCCCTGCCCGCGGACGTCCGGTGTCCGACCCCAGGCAGGCCTTCCCGGCTAACCGTGTCTTGGTCCTCTCTGCAGGAGGCTTCGATCGCTTTCAAGCCTGCTGCCCCGATCTGTGCTCTGAGTCCCCGGTCCCCGCGATGACGCCTGACAACAACGACATGAACCGCTCCGACTCCAGGGCTCCCTCTTATGACCAGGTGAGTTAAGGGCTCCTTGCCAGTGTCCCGCCTGCCAGTTGTGGGCGCAAGAGTGTGCCCATGACCACAGTCACCTGTGTGTATGTCTTTGGCCGCAGATGCCCACGTCTGCAGCCCCGTGGGGTGTGTGTGTGTGTGTGTGTCTTTGGCCACAGATGTCCATGTCCACAGCCCCATAGGGGTGTGTGTGTGTGTGTGTGTGTGTGTGTGTGTGTGTGTGTGTGTGTATGTATGTATGCCTGCCTGTGTCTTTGGCCGCAGACGCCCGCGTCCGCAGCCCCGTGGGGTGTGTGTGCATGTATGTGTGTGTATATCTTTGGCCGCAGACGCCCGCGTCTGCAGCCCCGTGGGGTGTGTGTGCATGTATGTGTGTGTATATCTTTGGCCGCAGACGCCTGCGTCTGCAGCCCCGTGGGGTGTGTGTGCATGTATGTGTGTGTATATCTTTGGCCGCAGACGCCCGCGTCCGCAGCCCCGTGGGGTGTGTGTGCATGTATGTGTGTGTATATCTTTGGCCGCAGACGCCCGCATCCGCAGCCCCGTGGGGAGAGTGTGTGTCTTGGCTCTCCAGTGGTGCTGACCTTTGGTGTGCCCGGGCGGGGGTTGCTGGTGTGCCCCACTGTGAGCCTGTGTATGTCCTCTGAGCAGCGTAGTTAGGGGGGTTTGGGGGGAAAGAGTGTATCTGTGGGTGTGTATCTCTGTGTGTCCTCCCCCGTGTTCTGAGTCTGATCCCTGACCAGCGACTCCTAGCTAAGAGCTCCTCAGGCCCGGGCCAGCTGGCCCTGCCTCTGTCCCCCTGGAAGGCTTGAATACCCGTGGGCCAGGGTGGAGACCTCACCACCGTCCCTCTTTCCTGTCCAGGGTGGCCCCGTGGAGATCTTGCCCTACCTCTACCTGGGCAGCTGCAGCCACTCGTCAGACCTGCAGGGGCTGCGGGCTTGCGGCATCACCGCCGTGCTCAACGTCTCGGCCAGCTGCCCCAACCACTTTGAGGGCCTTCTGCGCTACAAGAGCATCCCTGTGGAGGACAATCAGATGGTGGAGATCAGCGCCTGGTTCCCGGAGGCCATTGGCTTCATTGGTAAGGGGTGGGCCACAGGGTGGGGCCTGTCGGGATTCCAGGGGAGGAGGCGGGGCACCTGTCTTGTCTCTGCCCACCTTCCCGTCGTCTGACCTCGCTTCCCCCCCGCCCCATTGCCCTTGCAGACTCAGTGAAGAACAGTGGGGGCCGCGTGCTGGTGCACTGCCAGGCGGGCATCTCGCGCTCCGCCACCATCTGCCTGGCGTACCTGATACAGAGTCGCCGCGTGCGGCTGGATGAGGCCTTTGACTTTGTGAAGCAACGCCGGGGAGTCATATCCCCCAACTTCAGTTTCATGGGGCAGCTGCTGCAGTTTGAGACTCAGGTGCTCTGTCACTGAGGCTGGGCCCCACCGTGCTGACCCCACCAGGGTGGGGGCTCACAAAGCTCTGATTCCTGGGGACAGCTGGGGCCCCAGGTCCCCACGGCCCCTCCCACCTCAGGGACAGTGGCCCCTTTGGGGTTTGAGAAGCCTCCAGGAGGCACTGGAAACGCGGGGCTGCTGGACTTTCTCACCTGGTGCTCTTCTGCTGGGGGTTGAGGGCCAGCCCTCATCCTCATCCCGGAAGGAGGTTGGAAGGCGTGCCTGCTTCCCTCCTCCCCTGCCCCCTGGCAGAAACTAACTGGACTCTACACCCTCGACTCCCACTCGTCCCACCACCCCGTTGGAGCTCTTGGCAGCCTGAGGGCTTTGAGGAACAAGCTGTGACAACCAGGGCCCCTTTCTAGGGGGTGGTCCACCCCGGGGCCTGGAGCCTGAACCCTGTGCCGGGGCTCCGGGAAGTGACGCCGTTGCTGGGTCTGAACTTCTTGCTTGCGTGTGTGCGCAGGAGCGTTTCACGCCTGTGTTGGCGCTGGAAAGTTATTTGTGTTCAACTGACATTTAACACTCCCTCCTCCACTTCCTCCCAGCCCTGTGGGCAGCAGGGAGGGTGGGGGGTTTGGAAACTTAGCACTTTATATTTATACGGAACATTGAGGATGTGTCAATAAAATATTGTTTTGTTTAAGAAACAAGCGTCTGGTCTCAGGTCAACGGCTGGGGAAGTGCTCAAAGCTGTTTATTAGTCAGACCTCACCTTCCGTTGTGTGGCTGAGTCTGGGAAATGAAAGGAGGAAGGTGCAGGGATGACCTCACCTCCCAGCCTGGTCCTCCCCCTGTTGGTGCTCTTTTCCAGGCAGAGCCGAAAGCGGGGATTTCTGGGGGGCTGGCTCCAGCCTTATTCCAGTTATCAGTGTTGATCTTGGGAGAAGACTGTGTACTGTTGAGAGCTGGACCCAGCTCTGCCCTAGTCAGACCCCACTTCCTTTGTGAAGTGTGTGTATGTGTGTGTCTTCCTATGGGCATGGCTGTCTGTTGGTGACCTGCACACCTGCCGGCGTGTGTCTGTGTGTGCCTGTCATGGGGTTCCCCTGGGCTGTGTATAACATGTGCCTGTACTGGGGCAATGCTGCCCTCACCTCTTTCTTTTTTTTAGTTCATCAAATTGCATACTTCCAAAAATTATAAATTTATTTGTGCTGGGTCCCAGCTGTGGCACTCGGACCATGGATCCTCACTGCGGTATGTGGGATCCCCAGTTGTGGCATGCGTGTGTGCGTGCGTGGTAAGTCACTTCAGTTGTGTCTGACCCCTTGGATTGTAGCCCACCAGGCTCCTCTGCCCGTGGGATTCTTCAGGCAAGAACACTGGCGTGGGTTGCTGCTTCCTCTTCCAGGGGGTCTTCCTGACCCAGGGATGGAACCCATGTCTCTCGCCTCTCCTGCACTGGGACGTGGCTCCTTTTACTGCTGGTGCCACCTGGGGAGCCCCGGTTGTGACGTGTGAGATCTTTAGTTGTAGCATGTGAACTCACAGTTGTGGCATGATGGAACCCGGGCCCCCTGCACTGGGATCGCGGGGTCTTAGGCTCTGGGCCATCAGGGGAGTCCCTCAGATCTTGTTCTGCAGCCCTGGGCTGGGCCCCCGGCCTCAGGATGCCTGTAGTGACCAGGGCTCATTCCTGTCCCCGGAAAGCATGTGGCCTGATGTCTGGGGGGGAGGGCAGGTGGCCCGGGGTGGGCTTCGCTGCTCTTCACACCGGCCAACTAGCCTGTCTTCACTGAGCATGAATTATGTGCCCAGAGTGGATGGCATGTCTGGGGAGACGTGAGACCTGGGTCCAGCCAGCAGCAGCGGGTGCTGGAAAGGGGGTGCTGTGGTTTTCCGGAGAGCAGGGGTACCGGGGCCCTGGGGACAGCGCAGTGAGCAGCGGTCCTGCGTCAGCCTCCACGCCGATCCTCCTAGGCTTCATAGTGTCATCTGGCTAGCTCTATTTTGTCCTTCCAACTCAGCACAGGGTCATCTCTGCAGCACGCTGGGTCTTTCTCCGGGCGTCCTGACTGTCCGGCAGGATACACCTGAGGAGGGCAGAGTGGTCTGACAGTTAGGGGCCCGATTGGGCTTACCTCTCTGTAGTTTAGTTTCCTGGTCTGTAAAATGGGGTTTTGTCATCGGCCCCCACCGAGTAGCGTGGCGCTGAGAATTAGTGAGTCAATTCAAGTAAAGGCTTAGCTCAGCACCCACACACAGTAGGTGCTCAGGAAATGTTAGCTTCTGAAGACCCGAGAAGGGAAGGTGTTCAGCTCAGACCGAAGGAACACGGCCCCGTGCTGATGCTCTGAGCCGGGGGCGGGGGGTGGGGGGCGCCCCGCACTGTGCCCTCTGCTCTAGGGGTGGGGGATGTGCTCCCCAGTGAGGACTCAGCAGAGCTAGGGGTTGTTCTCAGGGATTTTGCAGGCCCCGAGTGGGTCGTTTGGGTCTGTCTACATAACCCGCATACCCAGCTCGGGGTGGAAAGGGGGGCATCTGGGGCCCTGAGTCATCTGGGCCTTCCCACGCACAGCGCACAGCGGGACAGGGGGCCGAGGCCCCTGCTTACCCTGCCATCACCCAGCTCCATCCCACCCCCCTCCACCCTTCCCTCCCTGTTCTTAAGTCTGCCTTTCAAGCAAACTGCATTTCTTTCCCTTCTTTTCTTTTTTTTGATGGGACTTCGCTAAGTCTTCATCACTGTGAGGCTTCTCTTCAGCTGCAGCCAGCGGGGGCTCCTCCCCACTTGCGGTGTGCAGGCTTCTCTTGCTGAGGGGCACAGGCTCCAGGGTGAGCCAGCTTCAGGAGCTGCAGCACACGGAGCCGGGGGCTCTCGAACACAGGTTTAGTTGCTCAGCAGCAAGTGGGATCTTCCCGGACCAGGGATCGAACCCGTGTCTCCTGCATTGGCAGGCGGATTCTTTACTGCTGAGCCATCAGAGAAGCCTCTCCCTTCTTTCCTCCCTTCCTTCCTTCCTTTAATTTGTGAAAAAATTTCAATTGTGGTAAAAATATGCAACAAAATGTACCATCTTTACCATTTTTAAGTGTGCACTTTAATTGTGTTAAGAGTGTTCATTCACATTATTATGAAACAGATCTCCAGAACTTTTTCGTCTTGCAAAACTGAAACGCTGTACCCATTAAACGATTCCCCATTCCCTGCTCCTTCAGCTCCTGGTGACCACCGTCCTACCATCTGCCTCTGAGTCTGACTCCTCCAGAAATACCCTATACGTGGGACCACACACATTTGTCCTGTTGAGATTGGCTTATTTCACTTAGCACAATGCCCTCAAGGCAAGCTGCATTTTCTTAAACTACGAATCTGTTTCTCTTATGGTTATGGTTATTTTACCGAGCACGCATCCGAAGCGGTCAGCTCCATCCCTACACTGTTAACCAGGGACAGAGGAGCCTGGTGCGCTGCAGTCCACAGGGTCGCACGGAGTCAGACATGACTGAAGCGACGTACCATGGACACACAATGTGAACGCCCTGCCTGGGCAGTTGGGGCGCCTGTCTTCATCATGTTCTCCCCATGATTGCTTGTTAAAGAGCTTTTTGGTGTGGACCATTTTTAAAGCCTTTACTGCATCTGTTACACTAGGGGGAGGACATGTGAGATCGTAGTTCCTTGACCAGGGCTTGAACCCATAACCGCTGCATTGGAAGATGAAGTCTTAACCACTGGACTGCCACAGAAGTCCCTCTGCCCGTAATTCTGACTCCCACCTTTTGAGAAGCACTGGATTCCAGGCAGGACAGGATGCCGAGCCACCTTGGCCCTGTCAGTTCCGTTTACTGGGCATTGGTGGGGATGATGTCCCCAAACCCTTCACCTCCAGGATTTAAATCCAGGTCTTCCCTTGGTGAGCAAGCTCTGAGGATGGGCCTTCTGAGAGGCCAGGAGGGGTATGGAGGAGGGGAATATGGGGAAGGGGCTTTAGTTCTCGAACCCCTGAAATGGGGACAAACGCTGATTTTGCAAGGCTATTGTGAGGGTGACAGAGGCAGTGTCCTTGCGAGGGCCTAGCTTTCCAGAAGTTATACTTTTCCACAAATTCGGCTATTCTGGGGTGCTGTTGACCCCAGTGTTCAGTTTATGAGCTTCATTTCTCCCTGCTTTTGTGATTGTTTACTATTCTTCACGTCTATGGGATTTCCCAGGTGAGAATACTGGAGAGGGTTGCTATTTCCTTCTGCAGGGGATCTTCCCAACTCAGGGATCAAACCTGGGTCTCTTGAATTGGCAGGTGGATTCTTTACAGTCTGAGTCACCAGAAAAGCCCATATACCATAATAAAAGCTTATAAAAACACTGTGATTTTTCCTCCTTCCACAGTCAGACTGGGGGTGCCTCAGGATCTCAGGTAGTGCCCCGCCATCTGAGCACAGGGCAGGGGCAGGAAAGGGGTGAAGCTCCACCCTGTGCTGGCTGCCTCTCACCTTTCTGCAATGCTTCTCTGCCCCCTGGTGGTGGGAGGGGACCTGAGAGGAGGTACACCCCCCAGTGGGACACCGGCAGGGTGCCTGTGCCCGGCTTCTTCCAGTGGTCCCCAACCTTTCTGGCATCAGAGACCCGTTTTGTGGAAGACAACTTTCCCGTGGATGGGGGTGGGGGAGCAGTTTCGGGATGATTCAACACGTTATATTTCTTGTGCACTTTATTTCTATTATTACCCCATCAGCTCCTCCTCAGATCATCAGGCATCAGAGCCCAGAGGCTGGGGACCCCTGCTAGCCCATGTAGCCAGGCCAGGGTCCAGAAGGCTCAGGCCTGGCCTGGGAGGGGGAGTCCAAGTAGGATAGGACAGGGCCGCAGCTGGGAGCTGTTGGGCGGGGCTCCAGGTGGAACTGGCTGGGGAGGGCCTGCAGGTGGGAGCTGGCGAAGATGTTATTTAAGGGAGGCGGTGGTCCTAAGTCTGCGATTAGGCTGCTTCATCTCCCAGGAACCGGTGCCCTTGCTAGCTGAGGGGTCACGGGGGCCCGCTGCAGGCAGCATGAGTATGGAAGGTCTCTGGCCATGGGTCCTGATTCTGGTCTGTCTGCCTGGTAAGTGGGTTGCCTCACTCTCCTACCCCGTTCACTTTGGCTCCAGCCTGTGGAGCTTGTGTGGCCAGAGTGCGTAGTTGCAGCTTTCAGGCATGTAAGTTGACCAGCATGGCTCAGAGAATGGGCTTCCGGGGATGCTCCTAGAAGCCAGCTCCCAGGGAACCCAGGGGGATCTCCCGAGGATGCTGGGGGGCAGAGGGCCTGCCTGGCAGGAGATAGCAGGAGTGACACCTCCAGGCATTCGTGCTCTGCCCTCTTTGCCAGGCTTGCCTAGCCCATTTCCAGAGGCCTGGGCTGAGGAGGGGGCCGGAGGCAGGGTCTGAAGCTAACACACCCTATGTCCTCAGTGTTGAAGCCTGAGGTCTCCCCCATCCCTCCTGTTCCCTCCCTTCCCTGCCCATACTTGCCCAGACACTGGGAGCCCAGGACTGCCTTTTGAAGCCCAGTCTTGGTCCTCCTACTGGGTTGCCATTTTCTCCTCCAGGGGATCTTCTTGGCCCAGGGATGGAACCGGTGTTCCCTGCATTGGAAGGCAGATTCTTAGCCACTGGACCTCCAGGGAAGCCTCATCCGTTAGCTATTGATGTGTAACAAGCAATCACAAATT